AGTCTCCCTCTGGTAATATAAGAAATAGAAGCTGTATTCCAAAGTGGTCTGTATAGGTACGGATCTTTGCTTTGTTTATATTCTCTGTCCTAGTCAACATTTCCGGCATAAGAACATGCGGTTTGGCAATACAATAAAGTTTTTATACTACCATATCTTTCCTTTCTAAAGTGCTTGTAATAACTAATCGATTAACACCATTTTCACTACAATCGGATATATAGTTTAAGTACAATGATGTAACTTACGTAAATATAAACAAACATAAAACATACTGCTACAATATAACCATTCATTGCATAAAATAAAAAGTTTAATCTGATATAAGAAAATTATTAGGTAGCAGTGTATAACAATCTAAATGCCAAGGGATCGCTTCGGGGTATTTGGTAAACACCACTCAGTTGGCTAAGATTCTAAAGTTTACGGGGTTTGGTTTCGTTACTCGTCACGCTAACTTGTCGGGCGTTACATCACCATTTTATATGTACTTCTTGTTATATATGTTTGTTGTGCGATATATAGATACTTGTTGTTATAAATGATTGTTATGTGGAGATTCGAAATTGCTGATATGAAGGAAGTTCTTGACTCTTCTATATAATTTTATTTTTGCGTTGCGTAATATTTTCGTCAATTTTGAATCATTTTAATATGTCTATTAATAAGGTACTTGCCTTCATTTTACATTATCAATTGTTATTTTTTTTATACAACTTAGAGTGGCAAACAAGCTGACGGCTCACCTGATAGAAAGTGGTAACCGTCGCCCAAAGACATGAGCAGTAACATGGACATAACACAGTATACAGTATACTGTTTCGCCCATGATACCTCCTATGTATTCAATTCCTGAGGAATCAGGCGTTATTCCTGTGTACCCAGTAAATTCACGTCATATCCCACCCTTCAAACCGAAACATAGCCATGCAAACACAACTGCTTCACAGTAGAAATACGAATGGGGCAGAGGTGCCGAAGCAAACGACTTTTGTACAAAGTCTGGTTGATGATTTGTCGAAGAAAAATCTTAAAGACACTTTCACACTTGCAGTAGTTGTAAAAAATATTTAATTTATTAATTGTAGCTACTAGAATCATCTCCACGTATATCTAGAACGTCATAATACATCGTCACTGTCTTATATTAAGGTAGGCAGAAACAATGAAATTTATTGTCATCTGATTATTATTGAATATAATTCATTGTCATGAAATATAAATATAAAGTAAGTAAATAAGTGCTCTCTAATGTAATCCTTAATGAGGCAGACATAGGCATACGTACATAGACAGACCTTTGCCTCTATAACACACTACGTTACACTAGTTATTTGATTAGAATTATTTTGTTTAATCTCACTGCCTACATTATTACTACCAGAAGTTCTACAATCTTCCATATTAGCCCTTAATCTCCGACTGCCATTTCGTCCACGTACATAGTAATGATGGTGATCAATCTTCGAGAGATTCCACAAGATGTGTTATCTTGTGGAATCTCTCGAAGATTTGAGTAAAATATGAGGACCACTCGATATGTCCAAGTTTCGTCATATATATTAGAATCCAACCTGGCAAAAGACGAGCCTGTCACTTTTTTTTATACAACTTAGAATGGCAAACAAGCTGACGTCCCACCTGATGAAAAGTGGTAACCGTCACCTTGAACAACACCATGGACATAACAGAGTATACTCGTACTGTGTCGAAGACTAATTCAGTTTATTAACGGTGTTTTCTATCATCGTAGCGTCATGGTTTTATAGTCAAACCTTTTTTTCATATTCTAAAATTTCGATTCAATTCAATGAAACTGCACTATCTAGACTAGAATACATGCTGAATCGCCACTGATTGCGCCAATTTCCCTTCAAGCCTGCATAGTAAACATATTGAGATAGTCGACGTCTGTATCAAGTTACATGCTCAATATCTAGCGATTGATCTGATTCTCACTCGTACGTACTGTCTGCCACTATGAAACATTGGCCTCAATTTAGTTCACTGGCTTTAGTCTAGCCCGCTATTCCCACATATTTTGTAGCAAAACTATAATATACACAGGCATAGTTGAAGATAGATGACGCAAGTAGCACAATCTAGATGATAATTAAACGTGCCGGGGGCAAAGGACTGTTAGTAATCGACTCCCTTTGTTAGCAATATCAGGTCGACCCCTGGCAGCCATCATTGTTAATCCGCCAAAATTCATCACAACTCAGTCGTTCATTCCTCCACTGATTCCTCACTATTTTTTATCAACTATTAACGTATCTGTGAATAACATTACATCTACATCCTAAAAAAATTAAAAGAAGTGTCAGACACTATGATAGGCACTTGTAATGATATTAGGAAAGCTATTTATTGCTAGCAAATAACAATTTGAAATAACCCTTTCGAAAATACTGTCTCTAATATGTGCTATTTTGATCTATCCAAAAAGCTTTATATTTATTTCATGTTTCTTATATAAAGTTTATTGCCTTCATATCTAAAAGCCGGAGTTGAAGAAGACACTGAATCCCCCTTGAAGTAAAAAAATGAATGGAAAGTGCATCCGGCTACGACATCTATTTAAATCAATGTCTATGACTGTATAAGGGTTAAGTTATGCGAGAGATATCGAATATCGAAGATGAATCGATTTTTCATCGCGATAAATACCGATCATTATGTTTATCCGATTAATACATTTCTGTTGTAAATATCGATCTATTAGATGCAAGAACTAATGATTTTTCTTTGTGATGTACGTCTTTTATCTATATACTCGTTTATCTCTTGTCAATTCTGGAAGCATCTAATATTTTATTTACTGTTTCTGTGTCTAAAAACAAATGCTTTTTATTGTTTTCTGTCCACAATAATTAATTTGAAAACTTTAAATGCGAGAGTTTATAATTAAGTTTAACCACAATTAAACAGCAGGTTGGATTTTAATAAAATTTCGTTAATAGCTATGGATGAGGGATACACGACATGTATCTATGTACATGGGCGACACAGTGTACTCTGTTGTGTGAATTTTCTGTGCTGTTCATGTTCATGTCTGTGGGCGGCGGTTGCTACTTTTCATCAAGTGTGTCAGCTTGTTCGCCATTCTAAGTTGTGGTTATAGCTAGTACGTATAATGAGAGGATGAAATGACATACGGATGGACACAATGATAATTTGAAATTGTAACTGAAAGGGCCTTTTGTTGACTATAGCCAACTAAACTTGCTTAATCGCTATTGCTGTAGCATTAACACCCTAACAATCATGAACATACGGACCATAATCATAAGAAATAAATACTATTCCTTGATAAAGGCTAGTCATTCAATAACTAATTGAGCTGTTTGTGTCCTTCGTAGGCTTTTAGTAGATACCTATATATTATATTACTGAAATATTTTGAATATCACTATCTAATTTAGTTAATGTTTAATATATACCTCGCCATCGACTGGGAATTCACCCCCATACCTTAGAGCCTAGATAAATGGTCGTGTGCGTACAGCCTTTCGGAAATATTTCCTCTCACGAACGCTCAGGTTATGGAATGAGCTCCCAGTCGAGTTTCTCCAAGAGACTACAGCACGCGGTTCTTCAAAAAAAGGGTTGATGAACCCCTCGTCTTTGTTGGTAACACGCGCGTAATGCAAGCCTCGTATTGCAAGCGTTCATAGGCTACGGTAACCGCTTACAGGTGGGTCGTATGCTTATTTGCCTCCACAGTGGTATAAAAAAATACTTCCATATTATTAACATAAATATAAAAGTCTATTATTTAATTTATTATTTAGTTTATAATTAATAAAGTATTTATAATTGTTCTATGCTTTTGATATCTACTCGTATGTATCCAAACTGTTAATAAAAACGCTTGTTACAATTATAATGTTAATAGTTTTGATATTTGACATAAACTGGTGTTGCGAGTGCTCATGGGCGGCGGTAGTCACTTACCATCAGGTGAGCCACATATTCGTTTGTGGCCTGTGTTATAAAAAAAAAACTCATTATTTAATTTGTGTGTAATATATATTTTTCATCACAATTGAAGATTCCAGTCTTCAGTAGAATCAATATTCTATTTAACAATAGATGGATTAAAAAATAAATAATTATTGTCAAAGGGGGGTAATATCCTTGAACTTTCTATAGCTTATATGTTAATTGTAGTTGAAAATTTTACGATCCGGTCTATTTTATGTGAAAAACTAACACACAAACAAAACAAATTTCAATATACAGTTTTAGCTTCGTTACGATTTTATTGTTATGTAGGTAAAGGTAAAATATTACACATTTCTGCATTAGTATTTCAAATACAGTCCTCGATATTGAGTACTATATTACATAGATTACTCTTTGCACGTTTGAAGTATATTTTTTAGATGACGAAACCGACTTATTGCCATTCCGTTCACGTCTCATCGATTCCATCCGATTGCTCGATTGAGTTCATTCGATACTCGATTGAACGCGGCTCGCGGATCCGCCACTATCACCGCGAACCCGATGCATTGGCAGTAACTCAATACGCGACATGTTTGCATTCGAATGCGGTCGCGACAGGTTTAGTGGTAATCTTCTAGAGGATTCGATTTCGCTGCTATTCAGCGTTGATTGAATGATAAGTTGTTAGGATCGTATTCGTATAATGAATCGTATGCATGATATATCGAATGGAAATAGATTTAAGAATAATATTTTCTTTTGATTCAACTTAGCCTTTGTATTATGCCTCACACGTGTTTCTACCGTCAAGCAGCTGTGCTTACATGACTGTGTATGGTTTGAAGGGTCAAGTATGGCGGTGAAATTACATAATAACATAATGGGCCATACCATTTTGGTATTACATTCATTACGATATTGTACCTTCGTAGCTATTATATAAATATATAGTATTTAGAAATGGCCAGTTATTCAGTTAATATTAAAAAAAGTACTGTACTTATTAAATAAGCAGTATTTGTTGATTAATTTGTTGCTTTTCATTTCAGGTACATTAACATTTTGTATCATTCTACCACATTATTGGTTGCAATTCATTTAAGTAAGTACCATAATTATAATGTACATAATAAATTAATATAGTGTTACCATAATTAAAAAAAAAAACAACTAACAAGGTAAAGGGAATTTTGTCTCTATTTCCATTTTTTTAGAACTTATACTGGCAAGCATGCTGTCAGTTCTCCTTATCACTGAACTTAAGAACCTTCAAGATAAAAGTGATATACTAAATAACTTGCAGGAGTTATCGTTTCAAGAAATATATTATCAAGCTATTTATAAATTTATCACAATTGCTATAGAAATTATTTAGTTTTATAAAGATAAAATAAGAAATTAAAAAGATATTATTTAAATTAATAAGATATTTTAAATGTTGTAAAAGTGTAGTGATCTATTCATTAATTCAGTTACAATTGAAGACAGGTTCTAAAGGGCTAGAACTAGAACTAGTAATACATGCCCGAATCAAACAAAGACGTATTAGATATAATCACCTAAACAATAATAAATTAATTACTTTAACAAATATCAAACGAATCCGGTCGTGTGGTCCCGGCATAGAATGGACTACCTTTCTCGTGTGTGTCATAAAAGGAGAATATGGAACTTAATGGTCGAAAGATGAGAAGCTGCGTTCCTCTTTAAATATCATCAAAATCTAACTGGTTTTTTTTTTTTTGTTGGATGGAAATGGATTAGTAACTCCGCCTGCGCTAACGGGATACGCTGGCGGAGCACCAGTGAAGGGTGATAGATGAGAATGAAAACAGGCCAGTTAGCACATCATGATGAATTCATCAGGAATTAACAATGATAGTTTCCAGGGGGAACCGCGTGGAGGTCGACCTGGTTAGGTATATTGCTAGCAATGAGATTTTTAGTCTCCATTACTAACAATCCCTTTCCTCCCAGTCTAACTGTGGTTGACAACCCGCCTGCCAAGCATGGCATCTACTAGCAAAACCCACCAATAGGAGGAGACTTATGTTTAGTATGGACTATGGACAGTAAACGGCTGATATGATGATGATGATGATGTTAAATATAAGTGTTTTAAAACAAATTTGAATAAATAAGAATGTCATGGACTAAATTAATAATTTAAATTAAAAGCATTCACCTATATAATTTCAACCTGTTCAAAAACGACCATAGGGCCTCCATAGGGACAGAAGGTATAAAAGCAGTATTCATCACTTTTATATGAAAATCACCTACATTCATGCAAAATAATATTTATTTAATTTCAACCACTACTCCCAAGATCTACATATATTTACAATTTGCACACCCATCACAGATAAATATATTTGATTTCCAACGTATTACCTTAGTAATGAAAAAAATTAATTAAAATAAAACTAATTACACTATGAATAATATTTTTATTTGTAAATATAGCTAGAAAAACGGGAATTATTTTTTGTAAATAACGTCATGTATTTACAGAAAAATTTTAAATTGTCGATGACTGCGCGGCACGTCACTGCTGAAATGCTTGCCATTTTTCTGCGGATGTTTTCTTTTAGGTCATTAATTGACCGCGGGTTAGAGTCGTACACTTTAGCCTTAAGGTAGTCCCACAAAAAAAATCCATTGGAGTCAGATCCGGGCTACGTGGTGGCCAGGAAATGTCCCTCTCTTACGATGTTGGAATAATAAGAGGCAGAATTCTAAGATGGCAGGCACATAAATTTACGATGATAAGTCGTAGTCGTAGTCAATAGCTGTAATTAATATTAATATATCTGGTTATAAATTATATATATAATATGACGATGTTGTAATATTATTCTCTTAGAAATGCCTGAATGTATCTTTTGAATTAGAACCAAAAGAATTTCATTGATTACTAACCCAGAAAATATTTTTTTTCAAAGTTTTTTTAGCTAAGTTATTACTTTAAAATAAAGTTAAACCGAACTTACAGTGTAATTACATCGAGAACTGTGTCGATGTTTTGTTCCGTACGTGATGTCGAGCGACCCAATTTCTAACGTCGAACCGGTCTCCTCGAACTCAATTCGTTTGGAGAGCCATCTTAATCATGTGTTCTCGAGCAACGGCTGTAACGCGCACACAAAACGCACGCGCGAAACGCTCCATCGACTAAATTTTTATGTTTATTTTGTCAGAATTAGTTTAGATATCTCTGTTGTGTTTCTTTTGTAATGTGCGAGGATAGGATGGGATTGTTAAGTAATAAAATTTAGCGACTAGTCGTAGTACGCTAACAATATTAATATATCTGCTAACGATTTTAATAAGTCGACTTCCAAAAAAAAAATCATTGAGTACTAATCCAGATAAAAACTGTTTATTAAGTTTTTTAGCTAAGTTATTACTTTCCTAGTAACCATAGTGGTTAATTCCATCGAGAAAGGTGATAATTTTGTCAATCATGAACTAAATTCATCTTTCATCCATCGTCACCAATAGATATCTCTGTTGTGTTTCTTTTGTTAGATGATGGATTGTTAATAATAAGATTTAGCGACTTATGCGCTAACAATACGCTGTCGACCTCCACGCGGTCCTTCCTAGTAACTATCGTGGTTAATTCCCGGTGAATTCGTCACTGAACTAAATTCATTTCTCATCTGTTATCACCCATCATTGGTACCCCACCCCGTCAGCGTATAAAGTAAGTGGGGTAATCATTCCTTTAACATCCCATTAAAATTGCTATCAAACCTCTTGTTAATTATTCTATTTGTGTTCAAGATTGAAGTAGTTTGTTTTTGCGGAGCTCAATACCTGTTATGAATTGAGGTAATTTCAATTTCTCACAATAGCGGGCAGTGTTAGGAATAACACCTGAGTCCTCAGGAATGGCAACGCCTGGGGGGGTATCATGGGCGAAACAGTATACTCTGTTATGTCCATGGTACTACTCATGTCTATAGGCGACGGTTACCACTTTCCATCAGGTGGGCCGTCAGCTTGTTTGCCATTCTAAATTGTATAAAAAAAATGTTTTTCATTAGTATCGGTAAAAGATTCATGCATATATTTACGCGAATGCGAGCAATAGCTAATTTAAAATAAAGACGAGTATTAACATTAATGAAACATGTAAGATTCATGAAAAGAAACAACAAATAAATATGTACATGCGGTACACTACGAACAAGGAAACGTCATAGATTTACAAAAGAGAACAATAAAACATTCGAATGGCAAGGTAAATAGTAGCAGATAAATGCATTACTGTGATCAGTGTTTAAACCTGAAGTGGAGTATATTGATTTGAGATTGCTCTCCGTTGCCCAAATATTTACCCGCCATTATACTTACACCGTTAGCAGAAAAGTAACATTACTGTTTACCTTTCAAAATACATTTTGAACCCGAGCGTGTATCGAGTTGAGATTGTTCTCCGTTCCGTCAATATTTACAAGGCTTCCATCTCCTTGAAGACTTAAAATTTCTAAATCTAATCCGTTCAAAAAATATTATCGCGAAATATTTTTAACAGTGTGTTAAAATTACACCAATTACAGGGGTCTACCATGAAATGAGATGTCGAATTTTCGGATTAAATTTCGTGTTTTCGTTCATACTGATATTGTCCCAGTAAATGTAGCTTTTCTACCATAAAGATCCAAAGGAATGATATTTTAACATTTTATTCAATGTTTTTTAACGGATAATGCTTATGCGAAGACAGCGAGAAGGTCTTTAACAAAATTTGTATTGTGTTCCATAAAAAAAAAACGCAAAAATTGAGGCATAACCAGTTATTTTGTTTTAAAAACTAAACTACTGAATAGATTTGGATAAAATTTCTATTGTATCAATCTGTAAGTGTATCCTTTCGGATAACAAAGATTTACCAAATGGATTTATGACTGACGGAGTTATGAGGTAACAAACATAACAAAATTACACCCGTATTGAGAACCTCCTTTTTTTTTAATTCGGTTGAAAATGTCTTAAGGCCAGAATACACGGTATCTCCTTTGGAAATCTCTGGAAATTTTAAATTGACGTGTCGACGTGAGCATTAGCTCTTAAAGTCCTTATATAGATTTAGCACTACATTCCTCCACGCGACATATACATTCTACCATAATCGTTTACACCATCAGTACAGCTAATAAGAATATTATATACTGTGAGAATATCATATGTTGCGAGTATCAGACTCCATCGATATATCGAAATAAGCTATTTCAATGCACCGATCGAATGCGAGACAAGGCGTGCCAAGAATTCGAGATAGTATTCACAGATTCCTCAGTGACTTTTCTTGCTATGCTTTACCGCGTTCTCGCGGTCTTGCACCTACTGTTTACGTATTTTTTTTTTTTCATTTTACACAAATAAGTTCTTGCTTAATAGAAAAGAGTTCCAACTTTTTATCGTCTCGTACATTAATAATATTATTAATTAGAAAATAAGACTTTATTTTATACTAACTTTTTGTCCGCTACTTGGTAAGCGTGGATTTTAGGAGTAGAAAAAGTAGTGAAAGACACATTACACTAGATTTTAAATTACATATTTACCAGAGGGAGACTTTGTAAAAAGACGACATTCGTGTTTCACACTTGTGTTTGCATAACTTTTTCGGTTTGAAATTACATATTCAGTTACATGGGCAAACATTACTCTATTATGTCCATGGTACTGCTCACTATAGGCGACGCTACTTTCCATCATTCAGCTTGTTTGCCATTCTAAGCACAATTGTAGAAACGGCATTATTTGGTGCAGTAGTTTTTGCATATTGCCAGAACAAACATACAAACGGACAAAATTTCAAGAAACTATTGCCTTACCCTCTATTAATTATTATTTTCTTAAATATCATTAGATACGTTTTTATTATATTAAATTTATAATAATTAGATATAGCAAAGAAATTGGTAATTTAACTGTGAGAAAAACTACATTGACTGGCATCATGGCCGATCGTGATTATGGTCCCGGATGATCCCGAAACTAGTCAAGAATTATTGGCAATAAAACACATAAATCTTCTTACAGTTAAAATATAATTTGTAATTAGAAAATTTTATCAATAAAAGTGAT